GTACCAAATTTAGTTTTAGAGCAACTTAAGTTTCTTAACCAAACGTACAAATTAGGGCATTTGTTTTGTCGTTGTCGAAAGCCCGACTTGCTTCTAGATATCATACAAAGGCAAGGCACAACTCAATCAATGCCTTGGCTATCGGACTTGGTACAGAACAGCGAAGGCGACTTCAGCCATCTGCCTGTTCAGTGTCTTTGTGAGTTTTTGCTCTTCAATGCGCACAGCATTAACGAAGAGAACAGCCGCGATAAGGAGCTGGTTGACTTTATTAGAAATCTAATAATGGACTCCACCTACGACAATCACGTTGTTTGTGAAGTGTTAGATTATATATTTAGGCGCTTGTCCTCAACAGTAAAACAGTCTAGAGTTGCGGCTTTATCTGGTTTGAAAATCATATTCAAAAACTCTGGTAAATATGAAAACGAATGGCTATTGAAATCAATTCAACAAATTCCACATTTCTTGGAGGCCAAAATGTACATTATTCCCCAACTGCGAGCAGCATGCCAAGTCGAAAATTGCCCAGAGCTTATTATGGCGTATATTCAATTTATAACGAAGCATACACTTAATGATCCTGTTAACGAAATGCTGGATCATGTTATAGATATGGCACAATTAATTGTGGAGCGCAATACCATGTTTCAACATATAATAATTTCGCAAGAGGACTACAATCTTAACCCGGATGAGAACCGAATTCAGACATTGAAGTGCTTGTTCGTAATGTTCAACAATTACATTATCAAATTGAGAGAGTTCCATGAGCCCTACGAATGGACAGAATATCCAGATTTATTGATGGTTCAGTTTGAAGACGGTGTGCAATTGCCGCTCCATATAAACATAATTCATGCATTCATTATTCTCCTAACATATTCGAGCAGCAATATGCCCGAGTCTATACCAATTCTCGATTATTGGTTTCCTCCGGGTCGACCAGCGCCGGTAGCTTTCCTGCCAACAATGCCTCAAGAACAAATTCAACTGTTACCGGATTGGCTGAAACTCAAGATGATTCGATCATCAGTCGATCGTCTGATTGAAGCAGCTTTGAATGATCTAACACCGGATCAAATAGTGTTGTTCGTTCAAAATTTCGGCACACCTGTAAACTCAATGTCCAAGCTATTGGCAATGCTCGATACTGCGGTATTGGAGCAGTTTGATTTGGTTAAAAACGCTATACTTAACAAAGCATATTTGGCACAGCTAATTGAAATCCAACAAGCCCGAGGAGCTAAAAATGGGCATTATACTGTACAGGCACTGGATTTACATTCACATTCTCAAACAGTTCCCGATTTACCAAAAATTAATGCGTACACTCAGGAAGTCTTTCATCTAACCAAATTCGATCCAGACTCTGTTCAAAACGTCAGTAACCGGGATTCCGAAAAGGAGACCGTACAAATTCTACTTAAGAGTCCGAATCAGCATATGGTTACAACAAACAACTATCGCAATTTAATTCATAATTTATTGGATCTTGTAGTTTCTCCAATGTCAAATAATGCAGAATTCTTAACCTCAATATGCGAGGTTGTCAATGCGTCATTGTTGGACTATACACGTGCCGACACAATCAATATTAACACAAGCCGTGGTGCCTCGACTTTGCTAAGAGCATATTTCAGCTGTAAGTTGCCCAATGATAATTATCTCGTTATTGAAAAGAAACTAAAACAAACCATTCGAATGTCAAATCAGATAGGCTCAGCTTCGAAACAGGTTTTCAAAACAGAACTATTCTTAGAAAGCTTATTATTCATGCTGAAGAGTTCGTATCAATTATACTTTATAAAACGTAAATCGCAAAGTTCTCTCCAAGCGACAAAGAAAATAGTCCGAGAAATGATTGAAGACTTTGAAAATCTTAGCAATGATAAAACTATTAGCGACAAAGTCAATTATAATATTTTCAATAATGGATTATTCATAGATTGGCTTGCCGAGGCAGATCCTGAAATAGTATGCACAAAACTGTTAAAGGAAAGTTTTCTATTTTCCAATTCCTGTAGGGAGTTTAGATTTTTCCTTTTATCGCTTATCAATCATCAAACCAATTGGAGTACCATCGAAAGAATTGCGAAGTGCCTATTTAAGGATTATAAGCTTGACTACGATTTCAGTACCGTGCTAAACTATTTTGAAGCTCTGACTACAAATCCAAATCTGTGGAAAGGCAGAGATAAGTATATGTCGAAAAATGTGCTACCAAATTCATTCTTTAAGTTGGAGCCTTCCGAGCTAGAGGCCTTCGTACACTTTATTTTATACGAAGGCATCTCAGAGATTAAGAATGACACAAATGGAAACTATGACTTTAAATTGTGCTCGCGAATGAATCTTTTGTTTAAGCTGACTGAGAAAAACAAAAATCTAATGGTGAAAGTAATAGAGTACGTGGAGAAGAGTCAAATTACGGATATATTGAAAAACAAAATCCTGCAACAGCTTTACATTATGTATCCACGTATCAAGTTTATTAAGAACTGCAGCGCAGATGTGCAAAACAATAAACTGCAGAGCTTAAAGGGCTGTCAAGCTGACAAAATAGCAAATAATTTGATAACGTGCTTGGGAAGTTTGGTAGCCAAGAAGGACTTTGAAACATTATCAGCTGATACCGAATTGCTGCTGCGAAAGTTGGCTGCATCGCATCCTCTTCTGTTCCTTCGCCATTTGGGCGTATTATCTTCCGTTATGCAAGGTAGAGGACAGAATAGCATGAAAGCATTGCGCGAGGAATATCATTTCCATCGTTTCGTGCAGATATTAAGAACTCTGGAACTGCTGCAGCCAATGATTTTCGAAGATGCCTATAAAAATGAGATTCAAAGAACCCTCTCGTGCTATTTCATATTCTTTAAGCATCACAGCTCAGTAAAGGAGGCATGCCAAATGCTTGTGAAATTTGTGCAAATATTACAATCATATATCAATGTTAATCCTTCAACTGCATTGCAATTTATTGAGCAATATGTCGGAATTTTGACAGAATTGGCAGCCAGATACACGTCTATCGGAAAGCTGCAGGCTCTTGTGCAAGCTGTTGCTCTACTCCAGCACAAAACGAATACGTGCATAGAATTGGATGACGAGGAAGTGAAGGTGGAATATGAACTAGATGGACATTCTGAAACAAAACCAGCTACTAATAAAAATTTTGCCAATGAAATTGATTCCTTTGAGGGCACCAGTAACGCCCAGGATGTCTGCAGAAGCTCATTTTCAGCCATGACTCTTGGGTCCTACAGCAAGACGAATTTCACTGATGTTTCTCCACATATTTTGGACCTAATCAAAATCATTAAGCAATCTAATATTGAAGAAGTGATACTAGGGCCTCTGCAGGAAATGGAATGTCTGACTTCGAAGCGATTTGTGTTTATCAATGAGTTGTTTGAGCGTCTCTTGGAGCTAATATTTTCGCCCAGCGCTCAGATACGATCTATTGCCTTTATTATATTGATAAGACATTTGAAGCACAACCCAGGAAACTCCGATATCAATCAGTGTACTTTGAACGCCTATATTCAATGTTTAAGAGATGAGAATTCGTCCGTAACAGCCACCGCGATTGACAACCTGCTTGAAATATGCATATTGTTGCAAGAACACGCGGTTGAAATCTTATGTGTGGCATTTTCGCTTGGCATCAAATCTTGCCTTAATACAAACAATCAAATACGTAAAGTTATGCAAACATTAGTAATTCAGCTTGGATATTAATGTTTTTAATTTCTTTAACATATTACTTATATGGAAATATGTTAATAGATCCTTATATAATTCATGTATATGGAAATTATCATACTGAGAATGTTAAAAAAATAATGTTTAGACTTTAAGTATTAGAGTTTACGCTTTAAAATATATGTAAATTGTTTAAGACAAGCAACATGAATGCGTGATTTTTTTTTCTGATCATTTAATAATGGATACGGGGGTGGACAAAACGGCGAAATAGAGGAACTTAATCTAACATACCGTATTAAAGACTGTTTCAGAGTAATGTACGTCAGTAGAAAAGTCGGAAAAGTCCTCATTTCTAATTTCCACAGGTGAGTCAAGCAATATAAACTAGGGTGGACTCTCAAAACTTCACTCCATATTCTTTTTTTGCAACTCGTATTAGTATTTATCGATTCATACGCAAAAGAGCATAGCGTTATTTTGGGACGCAACAAGCAAATGCTATCGAAAATATCGGCGCACTACGATATCGTTATTTCGTAACGCAAAAAGCGAATCGGATTGCAAAACGCATGCAAATGCTATCGAAAATATCGGCGTGCCACGATATCTCGATAGCAAAATTGATATTTTCTCTAATTTGAATAAGGGATTAATGGAGGGAACATTTTATTCTTTTATTTACTGTTATACGATTATATCTTATTTTACTTAAGTTGTCTCTCTCTCTTTATGTACGATGATCATATGCAAAATTTGCACATCTCAAACCTTGGGAATAATATTGATTTATCTTCGTTCAGTAAATTTCATCAAGTTTTATTGACCTGCGTTTTGCGTAGGCTGATTCGAAGTCAAGGTTATTGACCAAATGCAAAATACAAAATAAAAAAAATAAACAATTCTTAAAAATATTCATAAAAGATATGCATACAAATTTGGGGCAGAAACATTTTTACATTTCAGTGTTTGTTTGCCAGTCTCGCTGTCTCTTTGTCCGTCTGTTATACAAAACTTATATAAAGCACAATATTATCAAACCAAAACAAACGATTTGATTTGTTTGCTAAAAACTAACAAAATACGGGTACTCATGCATTCATTTTTTAACAAGTAAAATATTTATTTTAACA